GAGTGGATGGTGTCTACTCTGGAGACGCTTCTAGGGTCTCTTTGCGAGTGGATGGTGTCTACTCTGGAGACACTTCTAGGGTCTCTTTCTGAGTGGATGGAGTCTACTCTGGAGCCGGTTCTTGAGTGCTTGGATTTGGTCGAGTGCTCTGACGCTGTGGAGTCCTGCAGACTGCCCATCTTCTTCCTTGCCCGCTGCTCCTCCTTCTTCTCCTTTTCTAGCAGGCTATAGTTTATACAATTGCCGATGAGTAGCCACACACTCGCCACCACCACAATTGCCCCACAGGTAAGGTACATGTATTTGTACTCTCCAGTTACATCCACCAGTTTACCTAAGAGACAAAGAACACATTGTAAAGTGGCATAAGAAAGCTCAAAAAATGATACAACATCAAGTAAACTTTCCCATGAAGTATATACCTCTAAATGAGCAGCACATGAGCCTTTAGCCAAAAGAAAATGAATACCCTGTATTACAACTTGCAGATACGCTCAGTCAAGACACATATAGGAACTTACAGCATAGTACTACCAGTATCTTAAATATATTGAAAACTACTTCGCTCAGTAAATACATACAACCAAGACAGACTAGTTATATATTGTTTGTGTATGAAATCATAAATAAATATGCTGGTCTGACAAGAAAGTTCACAAACTCATCCTAGAAAAAAGGCTTCATGCTTCATTGCTCACATCACCATGTCTCCTTTCAAGTTCCCCCTGGGAGGCTGTGTGCTGACACTAGTGCCTAGTCTACCCATCAGACCCATCTTGGAGCTGACACCAGTGCTAGTCCACCCATCAGAGCTATCTTGGAGCTGACACTAGTGCCTAGTCTACCCATCAGAGCCATATTGGAGCTGACACCAGTGCTAGTCCACCCATCAGAGCCATCTTGGAGCTGACACCAGTGCTAGTCCACCCATCAGAGCCATCTTGGAGCTGACACCAGTGCCTAGTCCACCCATCAGAGCCATCTTGGAGCTGACACCAGTGCTAGTCCACCCATCAGAGACATCTTGGAGTTGACACCAGTGCCTAGTTCACCCATCAGAGCCATCTTGGAGCTGACACCAGTGCTAGGCCATCCTGGAGCTGACACCAGTGCTAGTCCACCCATCAGAGACATCTTGGAGCTGACACCAGTGCTAGTCCACCCATCAGAGCCATCCTGGAGCTGACACTAGTGCTAGTCCACCCATCAGAGACATCTTGGAGCTGACACCAGTGCTAGTCCACCCATCAGACCCATCTTGGAGCTGACACCAGTGCTAGTCCACCCATCAGAGACATCTTGGAGCTGACAGCAGGGCTAGTCCACCTATCAGAGCCATCTTGGAGCTGACACCAGTGCCTAGTCCACCCATCAGAGCCATCTTGGAGCTGACACCAGTGCCTAGTCCACCCATCAGAGCCATCTTGGAGCTGACACCAGTGCCTAGTCCATCCATCAGAGCCATCTTGGAGCTGACACCAGTGCTAGTCCACCCATCAGACCCA